TTAGTATGGCAAAAGCCCTTTTGGTAAGGTTCCCTTAGCTGGGGAGTCTCAAAAAGGGTGAGGGGAGGGGTTTAATATAGCAAGTTGTTAAGCAGATGATTGGGGTTAATTGATTAGAAAGTTTGAGCAGGAGGGATTGTGCCATGCAGTGGTAGTGTCCCTACCTGTGAACCAGGAAATCTACATTCAAGTCCCACTTGCCATAGAGGTATCATAACATGTCTGAACAGTTTAATTTAAAAAAAATCAAAATAAAGGTGTAATTGGTGTGCGGAAAGTGCTGTAAGACTGAACAATTAATAAACGTTATACGTCATGGTTTTTGTCTCTCCAACTGGCTTGGATCCAAATAAATATAGGTCACATTATCACGATAAGGGGGCATCCAATTAGGACTCAAATAGACTCAAACAGTCATAGAGTCAAGAGACATATACAGCATGAAAACAGGCCCTTCAACCCAACTTGTCCATGCTGACCAGGTTTCCTACACTGAATTAGTCCCGTTTTCCTGTGTTTGGCCCATATCTCTCTAAACATTTCATATCCACGTACCTATTCAAATGTCTCTTAAATGTTGTAATTGTACCTGTGTCTACCATTTCCTCTGGCAACTCATTCCATATATGCATCACCCTGTGTGTGAAAAGGTTACCCCTTAGGACCCTTTTAAATCTTTCCCCTCTTACCTTAAACCTATGCTGTCTGTTTTAGACTCCCCTACACTGGGGAAAAGACCTTGGCTATTCACCTTATCCATGCCTTTCATGATTTTATAAACCTCTATAATGTGTTACCTCACTCCTCAGCCTCTTATGCTCCAGGGAAAAAAAGTTCCAGCCTATCCAGCCTCTTCTTATAACTCAAACCTTCCAGTCTCAGTAACATCCTTGTAAATCTTTTTTGCACCCTTTTCAGTTTAATATCATCTTTCTTATAGCAGGGCTACCAGAATTGTACGCAGTACTCCAAATGTGGCATACCAATGTCTTGTACATGAAGTCCCAACACCTGTACTCAATGCTTTGACTGATGAAGCCAAGCATGCCAAACACCTTCTTCACCACCCTGTCTACCTGTGACACCACTTTCAAAGGAACTATGAATGTACACTTCTAGGTCACTCTGTTAACAACACACCTCAGGGCCCTACCATTAACTGTCTAAGTCTTGCCCTGGTTTGTCTTTCCAAAGTGCAACACTAAATTAAATTTTTATCTAAATTACACTCCATTTACCATTCCTTGGCCCCAGTTGATCAAGATCCCGTTGTACTCTTAGATAACCTTGTTGACTGTCCATTGTACTATCAATTTTGGTGTCATCCGCAAACTAACCATGCCTCCTATATTCTAATCTAAGTCGTTTATGTAAATGACAAACAAGTAGACCCAGCACCAATCCTTGCGGGTCACCGCTAGTCACAAGCTTCTAGTCCAAAAAACAATCTCTGCCACTACCCTGTGTCTCCCACCTTCAAACCAATTTTGTATCCAATTGGCTATCTCTCCCTGGATCCCATGTGGTCTAACGTTACTAACCAGTCTACCATGTGGTACCTTGTTGAAGGCCTTGCTAAAGACCATGTAGACAACATCTACTGCACTGTCTTCACTTATCTTCTTAGTCACCTCTTCAAAAAAACTCAAATTTGTGAGTCAGGATTTCCCACGCGCAAAACTGTACTGACTATCCCTAAATCAGTCCTTGCCTTTTCAAATGCAAGTGGATCCTGTCTCACAGAATCCCTTCCAACAACTTACCCACCACGGACATCAGGCTTACTGGTCTGTAATTCCCTGGTTTTTCCTTGCAGTCCTTCTTAAGTAATGGCACAATATCAGCCACCCTCCAGTAGTCCGAATCCTTACCTGTGGCTGTCGACGATACAAATATCTCCACGAGAGGCCCAGCAATTTCTTACCTAGCTTCTCACTATGTCCTGGGATATACTTGATCATGTCCCAGGGATTTATCCACCTTTATGTGTTTGAAGACCTTGAAATGAAGATTACATTTTTCCTATCAAAGCTTTGGGAAAGTTTGGAATTCCCTAACCCAAAGGGTTACTGATGTTCATGTATTTAATATATTGAAGATGAATCATGACAATTTTTAGATACTAAGGAGATCATATTTATGTTTGTTACATATTTAGATATCTCCTCTAATCCTGCCAACTTGCACATCCCTGCTTTTAATCACTGCACCATTGCTTCAGTTATCTGCACCCAAGATCTAAAAATGTGTTGCTTTTTCTCACTGTGACACCATTTTCATATTCAAAATGGCATGATCCCAGATACTAACAAAATCAAAACAGGATAGTAATATTTAATTATGAAAGTGTGCACATTAAAAATAAAACGACAATACATCATCTACTCATGAACATCTATGTATTTAAAATGATTTGGTGAAAATGTTTATATCCTTACTCAGCCTAACTGTTCAGCTCCAGATTAGAGATGCACCTTCCTAATGGGTAGTTCCTAAAACATCCTGCACAAAGATTCTCTCCTGACAAACTTCCTCAACTTAACCTTCCTATTGCACCTGAACTGTCACCTCATTTTTCACTTGGAGTTTCCACTGAATGATACAATCCTGTCACCCATGAACACCCTCCCCACCCCTCCCAGTGAATTTGCATTTGATTCTACCTCAGAACGCATTTTCCCTTCCCTACCCTCAGTGAACTAAATATAACACAAGGGCCTTGCTGCTGATCCTGGCTGTGAACCTAACTGCTTATAACATGACCCTACTGGAATCTGCAACTCACAACATGGGAACATCTGGTGCAGAATACACATCATAAATCTCTCAGTTCCTTAATGCATTTTTCTCGTTCCAGACACTCCCTAAAACCTTGACAAAAGTTGTTAAACATCTTCCCCAATCTCTCCTAAATGGGCACGGTGGCATATTTTGTTTATACTTCAATAGTAGTTTGGTTTTTTTTTGTTACTTTAATGTACTAACTTATGAGGGTTGTTAAGGGTTCAGGGTGGGAAGCTCTGGTTTCTTTGAATTGAAACTGGTTTAGATGTAACTGGAAATTCAAGAAATAATATCTAGTAATTTGTTTCAATCCAGACCGCACATTTCAGTTTGAAATACTCGGTAAAATGCCAAAACGTGAAGAGAAACTTCACAGGATCTTGATTAACTAAGGGTAGAAACATGCACAGAGCCACACACAGCAACTGTTAAATTCATTAACAATTTATTCTGAACAGAAAGTGTGAAAATGAGTGAGTTAAACTCTGGGAAGATGCAGGCAGTGAGATCAGCCAGTGTGTAACCCAGAGATGATGGAGACAGTGAGATCAGACAGTGTATAACCCAGAGATGATGCAGCCAGTGAGATCAGACAGTGTATAACCCAGAGATGATGCAGCCAGTGAGATCAGACGGTGTATAACCCAGATATGATGGAGACAGTGAGATCAGACAGTGAGAGCAGTGTGTAACCCAGAGATGATGCAGCCAGTAAGATCAGCCAGTGTGAAACACAGAGGTGATGCAGCCAGTAAGATTAGACAGTGTGTAACCCAGAGATGATGCAGCCAGTGAGATCAGACATAGTGTAACCCAGAGAAAGTGGCGTCCAATGAGATCAAACAGTGTGTAATCCAGAGATGATAGAACCAGGGATTTTCCAGTGCGCATCCAACATGAAACCATGCCATGGACTGTGAAGTAAGGTCAATTCTGACTGAAAAAAAAAACAATCATAATTGAAATGAGAAGGCCATGTAGTCTTAAAGGCATAGTTTTAATGAGAGTGCTGAAACAGAAGGTCTTGGGAGGGCATGTACGTTCTTTGAATGTGGCAGGACATTTTGAGAGAGTGGCTAGCAAAGGATATGGAATATTAGGCTTCACAAAAAGGGACACTGAGTATGTTGAACTGTGGTAACACTAGTTCAGGCTGCAAATAATAGATTACATCCAGCTCTCGTTACCACATTTTCAGAAGGAAGTGAGGATCCTTGAGCAAGTACAGAGGAGATATATCAGAATGGTTCCAGGAATGGAGGATATTAGTTATGAGATTAAGTGGAGAAGCAGTGGTTGTTCTCCTTGGAGCAAAGACATTTGAGGGGAAATCTGCTGGAAGGCTGGATATTTATAAAGTAGACAAGGAAAAGCTTTTCCCATCCCATTGTTCTGAGGAAGGGTCATCAAAACTCTGTTTCTTCCTTCACAGATGCTGGCAGACCTGCTGAGCTTTTTCAGCAACTTTGTTTTTGTTCCTAATTTACAGCACCTGCAGTTCTTCCGGTTTTTATAAAGCTTTTCCCATCACGGCTGATAGTACAAACAGTAGTGAATACAGATTTAAGGATTAGAGAAGAGATGTAGAGGAGTTGTGAGGACAAACCTTTCATTAGCAATAACTTGAAACTCGCTACCCATGTATGTGGTAGAAGCCAAAATGATAATTAATATTAAAAGGAAATTGGATAGACACTTGAAGGAAATAAACTGAAGGGCTGGAGGGATAAAGTGGGGGAAAGAGATAATTTGGTTGTTCTGCTGGAAGCTAGTCTGTACTCTACCAACATCAATATTATGGAGGGTGAGAAATGCAGAAAAAGTAATAAATTTCCTGTACCAGTTTCAGTCATTCAAAGCAACACAAAGTATTCATAATATTCACAAGAAAGATTTATGTTGACAATGCACAAACTCAATCATTTGAAGTTAAATGCATCTTACGTAGAAAACAATAGTTTTTCAAACACACAGTAGTTGGCAAACCACATAATATGTAAAATAATATGTGCAAGACAGGCAATATGATTGTGATTGTTATTAAATGTTCAGGGGATGATTGAGATCAATAATAGTGATTTATAGGGGTTCTGGCACAGACCACATATGAACACGTCAAAAGGTAACATACAATCTTGTGAATTTCTATGGGATATCAAATCTGTGGAGGAATGTTTTCAAACTAATTAAAGTAAACAAAGAAAATATGGTCAACATTTTGAAAGTCACATTTATTATAGAAATAGCAGATTTCCAAACATTTTGGATAACAAAACCACTAACATCTCTCAGCAAAATATTGAGATTGAATTCAATGATGTTAATACATAGTTTAAAGATAATGGATATCACAAAAGAAAAATCACATTGTTTTGAAAACCATTCTCTTGTAATACTTGTAAGCTCAAATGTCTCAACTTATTTTTATTTAATGTCCTCCAATCCTGTAAAATATAAGTGTGCTAGACAAATGTAATTACTGGACACCTACATCTGAACACGCACCAGCTCAAACTTATAGAAAGATTAGCTTAATGGAAGAAAGTAATTTCCATATAATTTAAAGTATTAAGCATCTAATCGCAATCACAAACTATCAATTATTAGCAAAATTTACTTTGGTTGGGTTTGTAACTTTTATTCAATTTCAGTGAACCTCATGTTATTTGCTTTTTGAGTGTAACAGAAGAGGACTCTTCCACTATGCAATGCTTCTTTTTGCCAGTAGAAGTCACTAATGCTTTTCATAAGTGCTGCATAGAATTATTCACTGAGGAGATTTACAGGAAGAATTGACTGTTCCATGCAGAATGAAAGGGCTGTGCAAAATAAGAATAATTTTCAATTGGCATATCATTAATACATCATTAATTATCCTGAAGTAATATACCTTTGCACCAAATTTAAATGTGACACCAGCAAATAATCTGTATCTTTTTATAATGATTTGAAGTCGTGCTTAAATGTTGGCACAGATGACTGCTTAAATACTTCAGCATGTTTCACTTTAAATTTGCTCACAAAAAATTCTCTGCAAGGTGCAGAGAGTGCACATTCCATTGGAAGTTGCAAATAATTATGTTCATTGTCAGAATACAGCCTCCCTGTCCCCGCACTAATATATTCCCTATCTATGTTAAAATATCTGAATCACATTGCAAGAAAAGCATCAGGACAAGCCTGGAAACATGCCATTTGTCCAATCTTTTAGCAAGGGACTGGTGTGTTGTTCAAGGAACCTTATTAGGAAAACAAAAAAACAAAAATACAATGATATTCTAATAACTTAAGAGCTTGGTTCAAGGAAATTATATACCACCTAAAATACTACATTTGTATATATAGCACGTACATTAAATGGATGAAAGCAACATTACAGCCTCTCTAGCAAGCCTCGCTATGATATGGAGTTTTACAATTGGCATTTATTATATATACCCTTTCATAAATGCCATCAAAACATAGCTATCTGCTGTCATTAACATCTCTCTTAAATTAAATGCTCCCGCCCTATTTTGGGATCTCTCTGATGTTCGTGGAGGTCCTGAAGAACTGAGAGATCGACAGAGCTAATTACAGCTGTGTTACTCTCTCCAATGTATCTGTTACTCCACATTCACTAAGTCATGAACATGTTTAAATTGTTACATTGAGTTATTTTCTGAAAGGTTTGGATAAAATTACACCAAGCATTTACACAAATGAACAAACCGGCACAATCATATTTTCAGGAGAAGGCTAATTAAAAATTCTCAACAGTTACTGTCTTGGGATTTCTACTGCCTGAGGTTCTGTTTTTGCTTCAATTGTCACTCAGGTCAAACAGAAACTTCTCATTGTTTTGTAGACACTGGAAATGGGAAACACATTACATATGCACAGCAAATTAAAAGACAATGGTGTTAATAATTTCTAATTTGTATGGTTTTAATAATTTCACGGTATAAATATTAAGTTAGTTTGGAATTAACAACTGCACATAGAAGTATTCCACAATTTCCTACAAGCAGCAAAACAATAAGAAGGCTAAATAATCATTAGACCATACATTGCTGTTCCTCACAGAAGGGAGGCAGTATCTTATTCAAACTAGCAATGTGCTAACGAGTCCTGTTAATGTCCATTATTCAGTAAACTATTCTATCTTGGCTATTGTAAGGTAGGTATTCTTTACAGCAACAAATCTTTCAGGAAATCAAAGTAATCTTCAAAGTAGGGGTCCTTTTTCAAACTTATAAATCTTTTGGATAATTCTGTCTTGTTATATCAAATTTGAAAAATGTAAAACCATTGATTTAAGATAGAACTTTAGCCTGGAATGCTTGACACTGGAAAGAGACAATTGTTGTCCATGCATTTGATTAAAGTTAAGAAGATTCAGGGATAGAGCCCCACTTGTAACCTCTATTTTAACCCAGTGAGAACAGGGTGAATATGGTTTGGATGCATATGTTATACATCATCTGATTTCATTCTCCATTGACTGAAGTGGAGAAGGTACAAAACTTGTGTTGGACTCATACTTTCTCCTCTCCACCAGGCAAATTAAGTTAATATCAAGACTATGGTCCATTTTAATCAACTCAAAATTCTTTCAATCTACTCTCTACTATTAACATTGGAATGATTTTTATAATTATTTTACCTTTTATTTTTTAGAATTCCTGTCCTAGTGCCAAGATCTGCTTTCATGCACATCCTTCTCCTCCAGCAGCAAAACCTAAAGAAAATGAAATTAGCATTTCAGAATATAGTTGTCCAGAAATCATCTGACACTGTTTCAAAAACTAGGTTTGTATCGATCATAGTTTTATTCAGAGGTTCATAGAATATTAACTTGTGAATTGGACTATTCAGTGTTCCCACATTCTGTTTTAATTTCAGGTCATTGGGTATATGGTAAGACTTAATGACCAAGATATTCCATTGGCCAGAGAGTTTCTGGAGCAGCACAACAGGACCATGTGAAATCCCAGACACCATTTATTCTGTGGGAGTTTCCTGAGAAATTGAAGATTCCAATAGACAATTTCTGTGCATCTGAAACTCTCTGAAGGAGTCCAGTAAAGTTGAAAATTTCAGAAGGTTCCAACTTAGTTAAGCTTAATAGTTATCCAGGAAAACTTAAAAGATGAATAACTGGACTCTCACTCCTGACACTTGGTCCTAACATGCCCTGGCTAGTTTGAACCACTGGCCTGACACCAGCCCCTGTCACTGGATCCAAAACCGTCCTCCCAAACCTGGCCTACCCTAAGCACTCCATGACTAACCTGAGACCCTACTTACCCACCTGGCACCCTATTTATCTGATACCCTGACACCCTAACAATTTACCCAACTGACAGACTAACCCCATGCTTACCCTACATACTTACCCTTTCATAGGAGCTGTCAAAGTGATTGGCTGTGCTGCTGAGTGTTACAGAATATGACACAGTGACTACTACTAAAGAGGTATGGTTCCTCCTAAGATTTTTTCTTGCTATTGGATTCATGGATTTCTGAACAAGTTTGTTCAGAAAGCCCCTGTCCAAGAATCTCCAGTGCAGTCATCATCATAAGTGGGTATGTTTTAATGCAATCTGGGATGGAAATTGGGTTTCTGAGCACAATCGGAATATCTGGGTCAACTTGTTTAATTACATGCTGAAATGCAGCTTGGTGAAGCCCAGTGAAATATTATCTCACAAGAAGAGTTGGGAGCTGAGCAGGGGTGAGCCACAGCGTTGCTGAAAAGCTGGGACTGTGCCTGTGTTTAGATGCTGGAGGATAGTGCAGACAAAACAATCAGACACAGTCTTAGAAGTACATCGGTCAGCTGCAAAAGAAGGCTGAGTCTGGGAGCAAGACTAAGACAGATTTGGAACAGTGAGCCTTTTAGGCAAGGATCACACCCATGGAAATCAGAAGGTGTAGAGCTGTTGTCAGCTGGGGATAAAATTAGTTCTGTGAAGGAGAAAGGCTGAAATGACTTGCGATTTTAATGAGATTTGGTGATCCACAATATCACTAACTGGGCGGAATGCTGAGAAATCTGTTGGATCTGTCTTCATCACATCCGCTATTTGCTGTGCTGTATGGGGTTTTTATCAGAGTACCTCTATTAATCCATATTTAGCTTGTTAATTCTGGATATTAGAGTTTAAACTGTGTGTTATGTATAAGGTAGATCATTTTGCTTTTCTAATCTTGTAATTTGTTTCTTTAAAAATATGTGGAATCTTGGTATTTTATTCTCTCAGGATGTAACTGAGATTTTGAACTTACTCTGTTTTTACATTCAAAAGAGAGGGTTCATCAGAGATTTACCAGAAAGTTGCTAGGAACGGAGGTTTTAAGTTCAAGGAGAGGCTGCACAAGCTGGGACTTTTTCCACTGTAGGAGGTTGAGAGGTGACCTTATAGAGGTTTATAAAATAATGAGGGGTATAGATAAGGTGAATAGAAGGTGTCTTTTCCCTCGGATGGGGGATTTCAAGACTGGGGGCATATTTTTAAGGTGAGAGGAGAAAGATTTAAAAAAAGGGGCAATTTTTTTTTTCCATAGAGAGTGGTTTGTGTGTGGAATGAACCTCCACAGAATGTGGTGGATGTGAGTAGTTATAACATTTAAAAGGCACTTACACAAGTACATGAATAAGAAATGTTTGGAAGGATATATGAATATTATACGGGACTAGTTTAGTTTGGGATTATGGTCCACTTGGACTGGTTGGACTGAAGGGCCATGCTATATGACGCTACGACTCGATGATTATGACTCTACTGATCTCTAACCAATTTGGCATAACACAAATTTGGCAGTACAATCTGGAATCATAACAATCGTTTTCAGGGTGTGATCTGGATGCTGAAGTAATTTCTCTGTTCACTGGAAACCTTGTGTTCCAACAAGATGTTTTGAGACCTGAGAGGTCCGCAACTTTCCTCTGGGAATTGAGTGTAGCTGTATGAATGATAAAAGACCACATAGAGGAGGATAAACTGCTAGAATAGGGAAGAGAAGAGAAAGAAGGGCTTTCAGTCGCGCTTATATTTGCTCAGGATCTTTAATGAGCAATTCTCTTACCTCAATTTCAGTGAAGACACACACTTGTAATGTCTTTGTTTCAAAGGTTTAAATGGATTGCAGGTTTCTCGTGGTGCAGGAGGGCGTTAATTACATGTGTATTGCCTTGCCCTCACTTCATGTAAATGTGGCCCCCCTCAATGTGCAGTTGGTGTATAACCAGGCAACTAACTGTGCTGGTGCCCATTATCCTGGCAGTAGAAGTGATTTCTTCATTCTCTGTAGTCCTCTGTGCCATCAGTTACTCCCACTCCAACAACTCAAAGCCGAGCTACCAAACAAAGTGGGTTATCCTTCCATGATATTGGTGTGTAGAACCCTGGTGTATATGCACAGCAGGTCTACAGAAGCCATTCTGTCCCAAGGAGTATTATGGAGCACAAGATCAGTGTCCTCAGGAAATCCTTCTGCTACCTTGTCACTGGAGGATTCTTATGGCACTTAACTAAATGTACACCAAGATTTATAGCAAAATGCTACATGTCAAGCAAACTGGCCTTTACAAAGGAACATCATCTGTTAGGACAAAAGCTGAGGTGCGGAAGTGTAAGACAGAGAAGAATAATAAGGAACTGGAGGAAGGGGAAGCGTAACGTGGAAGACCAGAAAAAGGAAGGATTGATGTAACATACACGACTGCTTACTACCCAGGTTCTAGATAATCAAACAATTCATCAGCGACACAAGCAACTTCAACCACACCCCTCTGTTTACCTAAATTTCCACACTCCTTTTGATGCTTTATCATTGATTGTCTCAGTGCCTTCTTCATGACAACACAAAACATAAAAACATCAAGAAATGCACATCCTAATCTGATATTACTAACTATATCATGATATAATAAAAAGTACCTTTCTTCCAAGTCTCTCCACTTGTGTTCTTTTGATGTGCTTCCCTAGTGGCTACAGTATGCCTGGTAAAAGAGTCCATCACTGAGCCACAATTGAGTAGAGTGCAGTTGGCCTTGCCGGGCCACGTCAAACAGCGCTGGAACTAAAGGGCCTGGAATCCGACTGCAACAACCTGGTCTGGATGGTGGAAGTTTGAAATGGTTGGCAAAGGGGAAGCCAGGCAATTATTCTTCCTAATGGGGACACAGCTACTGTATTGTACCTCTTTATGGGATTTAACAGCAGTTCCACCAGTTTCCAGCAATTTAGAGATAAATTTCAGTTTAAAGGGCCTGTATCAAGGTAGATATTGTTAGTTTTATTTAAGAATATATCATCACTTTTTAATGGTTCCAAAGGGTTTGACAGATTTTTTTTTCTTGCACATTTACAACAGCTCAAAGACATTAATGTGTTTCAGTGACCTTCAGCATTGATTATTCAGATTGGATGGATATTCTTACTGTCAGACGAGAATCTGTGCTCAAATCACACCTAAAATCATGATAGGTAACTCTAAAAAGAAACAATTCCTACAAACTTTGCATTACTGTGGATCACACTGCACTAAGGAAACTCCTGGCAGAATGAGTTCCATTGTTTTTTCAAAATAATAAAGTTGTGCACCAAAACTCAAATCTAGTTAAGCATTCCTTACCAAGGCATAACTTTACCATGACTGTGTTGGAATCTCAATTCAAGTTCAGATTTTGGGAATAATATTTCAAATATATATATTGTCGTTATACTGTGTTCAAAAAGTATTACAGATTTAAGGTAGATGTGATTGTTAATGCAATGAAGTCATTATACCTTTAAACAGATATTTAAGCCTAGGTTGGAAAATATTTTGAGTTGACAGTATCAACAATGGGACATTCCTTTTTGATACCTGTTCACGGAGGATACCCGCATCTTTCAGTGTTGAATCTGACCTTTGGAGCAGGCTGGTCTCATCATTCAAACCTTTCTTCCACAGCCGAACCTCATTCTGAACATCAAGCATTTTCTTTATCTCCATTTCAACAAAACCTGTTCAAACACAGTTAACATGTCACATGCAATCATGGTGTATTGAGTTTCATTTGACAAATTATCCACTTATATACTGTAATCATCTTCCTTATTTCTGAGTTAATAACACAATGACATCAATGTTCATCTCTCAAAAAATTAAATCTAGGAAATAGACAATAAATTTTAAAAAGCTAATAAATCAATGTTTTTGTTTTCATACGGTGTGGGTGTCATTGGCATTTATTGTCTATTCCTACTTGCTCTCGACAAGGAGGTGGTGAGCTGCCTTCTTGAATCTCTGCAATCCTTCGGTATAGGGTATTGGGTATAGCTGTTGTTAGGAAGGGAATTCCAGGATTTTGAGCCAGCTGTAGCAAAAGAAACATTGTATAATTCTACGTTAAGATGATGTGTGGCTTGAAGGAGAACTTGTATGAACTTATGCCATTGTCCTTCTAGGTGGTTGAGGTCACAAGCTGGGAAGGAGCTGTTGCAGGCATTTTGGGTGTTAGTGGAGCACAGTTTGTGGATAGTATATACTGCTTCCACTGTTCATCAGTGATGAAGGGAGTGAATATTGATGGTAGTGGAGGGTGCCAGTCAAGCAGATTAACATGTCCTGGTTGGTGTCAAGCTTTTTGGTTGTTGTCAGAGCTTCAGACATGTAAATAAGTGGGGAGTATGACATCACACTCCTGAATTATGCCTTGTAGACGGTGGACAAGCTGGGAGAGACAGAAGGTGAAGTACTTGCCACAGAATCTTAACCTATGACCTACTCTTGCAGCCATGGTTGCTGCTGGGCAGTTTGTTGCTTTGATTTTTTATTACTTATTCATGCTTGATCTTTCATGACTGTTGAAAGTTATAACTCAACTAATCAGTGCACTTGATTTGTGCCAGAGATTGATCTCAGATTTCTAGTTTCATATGGACAAAAGACCCTCGATTGTGACGAAATGACAAAATCCATTAAAATTGTCAATGGCTGAGGTGCTCAGAGTCAAATTGGGAAATGCAAATTCCTGCCTCTAATTTGAATACATTTCCAGGCAATGAACAATATGATTAAGGAAGTCATAGCAGGAAGCTTGAACCATGGGAAAATTGACCGGAGAGCTCCAAGTTCCAATCAGGCAGTAGGTTTTAAATTGGTCGCAGTATTCCTTCAATGATAACATTGTATTAGTGCAGAAAAGTTGAACAATTGCTCACAACAATACAAAGAAGGAATATGGGGAAAAGCTGCTACCTTTTAAGTTGAACATTTGAAAGTTGCTATATAATGTATACGATGAGGAAGTGGTGTGATATGTTGTTAAAATAAAAGTTCAGATGAAAGGTGCATTACTAAAGATCCCCAACAAGTTACTGCAGTTACCTTGAAGCTAATTGTAAAATAGGATGGATTTTGCTGTGTCAAGAGGAAAACTCTTGTGAGACCCAACACATGGCAGAAGTCTAAGCTTGTAAGCTATGTGCAATAGAAAAATTGCAACCACCATCCTATTAAACACCATGTTTCATTGCAACAAAGCTACATAATTATCTTGCAGATTGAGAAGGTCACCAATGGACAGCAAGCCACTATCCAGAGGCACTCCTTTGTTTTTTGGAAAATGAATTCGCAATGGAGTCAGGAGCAGATGTTGCAGAAAATAGCCCTTTTAAATTATATTTTAATCAACCTGTTTAGACATAATAGAACACATCTTCATGGCAGGTGGAACTTGAACCCAGATCTTCTGGCCAGAGGTTGGGACACTACCACTGTATCTCAAACGCCCAGAATGACCCTTTATATCGTGACAGGCATTTCCTAAGCATTTCATCTGTTTCAAATAATGTGGATACTAAGGACAGCTCCATTCAGATATCTGCAGATCACTGAATTTATGAAAGACAGTGCAGTTCTCTAACAGACTCTTCTTGTGGTGCATAGTGAGAACAGCTCTCTTCTGGATATATCCGGAAGATGACATATAAATGACGCCTGCAGTAATGACATGGGGAGCTACAATTTGCAGCCCCTCACAAACTCCTCTTCTTCATTTAAATCATGCATTCCATTCAGAATCCCCATAGGAATATCCATCCTCAACATTTACGAGATGCAATTTAACTGGAAGCAGCAACAGAGAAAACACCGAAAGAAAATGACTATCAATGTAAGCAGGAAGGTATTTTTCAAACCTTTGATTACTTAGTGCATTACTCCATTTGTTCTGTATTAATATTTTAAATAATTTCTTTTATAAGATAAAGACACAAGATAAAATTTTAAAATACCCTATCAAAATGGTGATTCAAGCGTTTGAGATTCTTGAGCAAAACTGTTATTGCAACTTTTTTAGGGAAATTAAAACATGAAAATATGAAATAAAACTTTAATTTTAAAACGAGTGTCTGTGAATCCACGGGCCTCACTGTGACACACAGTCATAGCTGATACATCCTTGCACATGAAACTTTATATTCCTACACATATTGCTATTTAAGCACTAGGCCTTACATGTCCTTATCCACATCCAAACTTAAAAAAAACGGAGGTTTCTGGAGAAACTCAGCAGGTCTGTTGGGAGAAAGTAGAGAAGATGTTTTGGGTCCAATAGCCTTTCTTCAGAACTGATCTAAACTTACAGCCCTCTCTAAATCACTCTGACCCTTTATCCAATACCCACTGTAGTCCAGAATCTTTTCAATGTTCAAAGTAGGACTATCACACACAAAGAGGCCTTCAGTTGTCTCAAAAATTCACTTTTATTTACAAACACCAAAAGTGAACAAAAAATCAAACAAATTGGAGATAAATATGCTTGTTGGAACATAAATGATTTATTTGCATGTCAAGCACCAACCATTTTCCAGTCATTGAATGATCATTGGACCCAGCTCTGAGGAAGGATGTTCTGGTAATGGATAGAGTGCTATGAAGGTTCACCGGACTGATTCCTAGGAAGCCAGAACCAACATATGAAGAAAAATTGGATCGGTTAGGAATATACTCACTGGGGTTTAGAAGAATGAGGTTTTATAAAAAACCTATAAAATTCTAACAGAGAACACAGCATAAACACAGGAAGGACATTCCCGATGACCATGGAGTCCAGACCAGGTTCGCAATCTAAGGACACAAAGTAGGCATTTAGGACTGAGATGAAAAGACATTTCTTCACCCAGACAGTGGTGAGCCTGTGGAATTCTCTGCCACAGAAAGCGGTTGAGGCCAAAACATGGAATGTTTTCAAGGAGTTATAGTTCTTTCTGCCAAAGGGTCAAAAGGCATGCGGAGAAAGCAGGAACAGGATTGTGAGTTGAATGATCAGCCATGATCATATTGGTTGACAAAGCAGGCTTGAAAGACCGAATGGTCTTCCTGTGCTCCTATTTTCTACGTTTGCATGTATGCTTCTATGTTTCATCTAGAACTGCACATCAATTAAGCCTTGTCTGGCTTGTAGCCACCAATGCAGCTATGCTCTATCGTGCATAAGGTGATGTTCCTCCTGCTCAATTGTGCCCACACTTCTTCTAGAAAGACTGCTCTGGCTCTCCCAGTTCATCTGCATCCATCACATCCCCTCTTTGGCTGCTGAAGTTGCTCAGAATACAAAATGATAGAAATATGCTCCCAGGATACCAAATACAAATTTCAAAGAAGGTGGACCTGTGGTGAGCAATTCTCCTGCCAGATAAAGACAAAAGGTGGTCAAGATGAAAATGTGATCAGCTACTTCACAAGGTTGCAGTATTATTGCAGATGATGACAAATGCACAACCATCTCAGCTGAAGATACCAAGAACTGCAGATGCTGGAGTCAGAGTCAACACAGTGTGGAGCTGGAAGAACACAACAGGTCAGACAGCATCGGAAAAGCAGAAAAGTCAATGTTTCGGGTCGGGAGCCTTCTTCAAAACTGGGGAGGGGGAATGGAACTGGGAAATAAATAGAGGAAGGAGGGGTGCGCCTGGAGAAGGTAGGTGGGATGGTGATAGGAGTACTGAGAAAGGAAATGTGGCTGAGGTACTGGGTCTTTTTTAAGTATGTGGTCAAATAACTTCAGGGTAGAGGAGATTACCAGTGGATTGCAGTGGGAGAGAGATCCATTGAGATCTTTCCGGAGGGAGGAGGACAACTTCTTCAACTTCTACCTTTCTCCAGCCCCACCCCTCCTCCATTTATTTCCCAGCTCCCTTCCCCCTCCCCAGTTCTGAGGAAGGGTCCCAACCCGAAACGTCAACTTTCTTACTCCTCTGATGCTGCCTGAGCTGTGTTCCCCTAGCTCCACACTGTGTTGACAGCCATCTCAGTGCATCCCTCCAGGAAAAATGTCCACCTAGCATCCACTTGCCTTAAAAATCGTATTAAGAGATTAAATATTCTCTTTGAATACCCATTCTCTATGTACATCACATTTTGTGTAAAGAAGCATTTCTTAAAAATAGTGCTAAATTTTCCCTTTATTAATTTGGACCTGTGTCGTATTTTTCCATTCTTACAATTGAGAGTAGACTAATTTGTGACATGTGCCTTTTCTGCTATCATTTATGACTTATATACTGTACCTTTAAAAGAACACCCTTCAGCCACTTCATTTCAAGACTGAAAAGTTCAAGTTTAAGTATATCTTTCTTACAACTCACACCACTGCCTCCAGTGTTTAAGTGTCAGGATGTGGATCAATGCACACTGGAAAGTTTGATTCCAATTTCTGACCTCAGTTCCAAAGTTCTGGCTATATAATTCTATATTGTGGGGACCAAATGTACTAAGAACTCTAGGTTTCGTTCAATTTAAAAATGAGTACCCCTGCATAGTGGCTATGTTATGGACTAACAATCTAGAAAATATGAGTTCAAATTTAATAATCTTTGGGTTAACTTCAGATTTTATAGAAGCTCAACTGACATATTAATGCCCTTCAGTTGTGAAAATGTGCCACCCCTTCCCAATTTAGTTGTCATATAACTTTAGTTCTGGGATATGAAGCAGATTCTCGGTGCCTCTGAACTGGTCTTGAAAACTGCTCAGTTAAAAAGTAGTTACTAACTGCCAGAAGCACTGTAGTTGGTCAAGGAAAGGCCAGGTCTCAGATCAACTGAGATGAGAATATATGTGCCCTTGCTGATGTCGCCCACAAGCCATGATCAAATAAAAAGGAAATCCTTAGCTGCTTCAACACCATTTAATCATTCAAGAGAAAGAAGCAGTTTAGAATTGAACCACTGTTTACAGTGGCTGAAAGTGATTTTGCTGCTTTCTCTAGATAGTGACCATTTATCAGCTGGATCTGCAGATCTTCACAACAAATAACCTTCAAGCCTGCAAATTGTTTTCATTCTCCATAAGTTTTAGTAGAACCACAATGGAACTTAGGCAAATGCAGGTGATTTAGAAATTGTAAAAGTATGCAGTCTATTCTAGTTTTCAAGTTTTAAAGGTGTGTCTTCATGGAAAATATTTCTCACAAAGATTTTCCCTTTGGATAATTTAAAAATTGGCATTGAACAAGTGATGACATCTTTGCATACAAGTCACTGTGATTCAGGCTTTCAAGACAACCAATGGCTACAATTAAAAATTCCTAACAGAACATCTCGTGGAGATGCTGTGATTGTACTGATGCAGCAGGGAATCAAACTTGATGAGTGTGGACTTTTATGCTGGAATCCTGCAAGGAGTACAGAATTACCATTATGCTATTGGCAATGCCTCTTTACAAAGGAGAAAAACAATATGAACAGTAACTGGTAATGGCAAAACAAGTTAAGAATGCAGATTTTAACAACATACTTTTAACATTGGAGGTCCCCACAATAAATATGGCAGGATTTGAAGAAATAATTATGAATGCTGCTATAATTATTGATATTATAGATTGCTTTAATTATTCCAATAGATGGTAATAGCTGCGTCACAACAACACTATGTTTTCTTTTAGGGAAAAGCTATTATATTTTGATCTCAGCTGATTGTAATAATAGACAAGGCAAATCCCAGAGTGAAACCTGGCTTGATTGACTATAATGTTGATTGTTCGTTTTACTGTTGAGGTCAGCCACTGGACATATTCATAAGAGATTACCAACGTACTTCTAAGAAAAGATCATATAAATTTGTTATGTAAGAGAAAATCATGAATTACATTACACTAGACAAGAACTACAGGAATGAAACAAAAATGGAAATTGGTGGAAAGGCTCGGCAGGTCTGGCAGTATCTGTAAAGAGAAATCAGAGTTAACATTTTGGGTCTGATGACCCTTCCTCAGAACAGGAGGGGTCACTGAACCCAAAATGTTAACTCTGATTTCTCTTTACAGATGCTTCCAGACCTGCTGAGCTTTTCCAGCAATTTCTGTTTTATTTTTTGATTTACAGCATCCGCAGTTCTTTCTTTTATTAACTACAGGAACAATCTCATTACAATATCAGAAGGAATGATTGCTCCCCTTTATCCAAGCAATACTCTTTTAGACACTTAATACCACAGTCAAGAGTCACCCTTAGCTCCACACTAAAGCTTCTTGGTCAGCTAGTATGGCTAAAGTTGGTTTCCTTTTGGCAAATTTTTGCATATTCACTAGATGCTATTTTTTCCCGTTAATATTTTACCGTGAGACAGCTGAAAGAAGTTGCCAACTCAGATCACTATTGCTTAACATGGGAGATGTTCTTGACAGCCTTGTAGGATACCTTCCTTTCTGACACCCTCATAGCCTTCCACTTCTGGCACAACTTACTCACTAACTTCTAAGAATGTCTGGACTTTTCCCCAGCCCTGACTTAGTGGATACTGCTAATAACAGTACCTCTGCTGTTATGAGCTTCTTACCACTGCAAGAACCTGCTCTGAATTCTTCTCCATCTCTGTCTAGCAGTCTTTAAACTCAAGTCAGTAATACTGTAGCATTTATCTCCCTGGGTAGCTTGATGGTCATTTAGCTGAAATTCATGATTTCTCGTAAGTGCTGTTTTCAACTTAATGTTCAAAGTTTTTCAGACCTTTTTAACAAAAGAAAGGTCAGATCTTTACAGAACTGAAAAATTGAAATCCATTTTATTTCCTCTTTGAAACTCAAATTCTCAAATAATAATATTATATCAGCCTTCATAACAACTGTAAATCTCAAAAGAATAAGAATTAGTATTCTGCAGTTCATGGCTGAAATAATTTTGCAACAACCTACAGCACTAATGTTTCTTGTTTGCCTAGGGCCCTTGAAATAGACTTCAATAACCAAACTGCTTTCACAATTAAACATGTTTTAATCTTACCCACAGAGTCAGTTGTTCTAAAGTGACTGAAAACTAGAGGATTTGATTCATTACATCTGTATACTATCAGCTGAATTCGTTGGCCATCTTCTTTTAGCAGTTCTTGTGAGTTCTCTTTACTGTGAAACTGGAATGATAATTATATTGGAACACTTGGTTAGTATAAAGGAAATAAATTGTACATCTTCTGTCACCCACCAATGGTACCAAGTAGGGAGCACAATAGAAAAACTAGAGGACTCATTAGCAAAGTGTGGCATGTATAAAAACAGAACTTTCATTTTAACGACACTGAAAAACGTCTCTTCAAGTCTCAAGGCACTTTACATTAAGAATGATCTTGAAGTTACCAAGCACCTTCCAATTCTCATAATCCCTCGATGCTATGCTGTTAACTCTTTTTTTTGTTGTATAACCAAACCTGCTGGACAATTCGCACAAAACAGAGCTTTGCAAACAGCAGTGAGAAAAGTGATCATAATCTGTTTGGTGGTGTTAGTTGTAAGTATATTCATCTGAATAGCACTGTATGTTTTTCATATCCATCTGAGCATGGAGATGTGACCTCGGTTTACCCTCTCGCCAAATTGTGCCACCTCCAGCAAAGCAGCATGCCCTCAGCAAACACTGCATAATGAACCCAAGTTCTGAACTGTACTTGAGCTTACCATTTTTCAGAAGCAAAACCATTACCACTAAGAAATACAAAATGCAATTCATTTGCTCAGTACTGAGATTGCCAATAGCACAATTCTACCAAAAACGATAAAGCAACTTAGAAAAGAAACTGCTGAAAATCTTGTTCTGCTGCTTTCTGTCTAATCTTGAAAATAAAATTGATTACATTGTTAATTTACATTTCTGTCTTTTGGCTTTATTTGGATCCCAAATATTTCTCTTCTGAATGTCGACAGGTTTTTATTATATCAAGTGACTTACAACTTTACCAGCTTTCCTATCTTTTAGAGCGGTCACTGCCTTGAGGCAATCTTACTCATTCCTCCATCAGCTCTTTCCTCATTACTTTTCTGTAAGGTGTGCGTGAAATGACCACAACTTGCCTTGAAATTCTGTTAAAAATTGAGTTATCACTAGACAGACTAAAGTGCCAGGGAAAGAATGGGTTAATGCTACCTCAATCACAAAAGTTTACAAACATTTCTTGCCAGGGAAAAAAGGCAAGCCCACAGGCCAGAAAATGGATTACTATGGCAGATTTAAAGATACCCAAACTTGTCTGCAGAAATAGTAAGAACTTGTTTGCATCTGTGCAAGGCCACTTGTTTAGTGAAGACCTGAGAAGCTGTAGAATGAACAAACCACTTGAAAAGTCTAAGAATGAGCTTGAAGGATTTTAAGTGTTGATAAGAATTGATTGACATCGCAGAACTTTTACTCCCACTTTTCTTCATTTAAGGATTTAAAAATGGCCTGCTCACTCTTATCTGACTGCCGATGTCAGCTGTTATGGCATAGGCAATATAATATTAGTGTCTCAGTATTTATTAGTTTTATTAGTTAATATTAGTTTTTAACAAACTTAATTAACCCCAATTGTTTATTTATGTATGGTGGACTGACTGCTGATTCCAAAGGGATACTGTTAGTGGGAGGCTGCAAGGAGAGAGACAAAGTTGCAAATGAGACAGAACAGTTTTAAAGCGGTAAACAAAGTTAACTAGAAATTAACTAAATCAGTTAACTGGAGGTAGGAAATCTCAAAATAACAATTAATTCCTTGCAAACAAATTCAAAGTCTTTAACTCAAAATTATGTGTTTAGGAGTTATTATATGGGGAAATATGTAATGGATGTTATTATAATGGACACTGTGTCAACTGTTAAATTTAATTCTGAGATTGAGATCTGACAAGTAAAAAGAATAGTATCTGGTTAACTTCTTCTAGATTTGTGCCTGTGCAATGAAAATGCATTAGCAGTGACCTCATCAGGCTGTGGAAGATCTATTTAGAGTGATGGGTTTTTTTGTATGTAGAAGGGTGTATCAATTATTTTGAAGAAAAACAAACTTTTAGTTCCTGAAGGTTTTAGTTCCTAATTGTTTGCTAACTATACCTATTGTCTTTTGCCAACTTAAACACCGTGGTGTCTAAGGAATTAATGCTTTCCTTGTGTGTTATAGCTTTAAGTTTAATGGAGGGTTGATAAATGTGAGGATATTGATGAATTCTTCTAATTCTGTTTCTGTGTGTGTTGAAGTACGTCAACACAAACACAGAAGATGATGTTATTTCATAGATTCAGCACCTAACAAATGAGTTTATGTGAATTAAAAAGTAGCCCCTGAAAACCTAAATGTAGGCCCTGAAAAACAAAACGTAGCCATTGAGAAAATTTTGCGAAGAGGCCATTAAAAGAAAATACATTATTTTATGCCCTAGTCCAGAGAAGTTGTGAATGACAGGATAAAAGGTAACCAGACCATACTCTCTCATTAGAGACAACTGGTGGTGTTTAACCAGAGGGTCATCACACCTCAGGTGAGAAGAAAGGTTGAAAAGGAAAGCTCTTCATGGTAACCTCAGGTGGTGTGGGAGTTGAACCCATACTGTTAGTATCACTCTGTATTATAAACCAGCAATCCTGCCAACTGAACTAACCAAATCCCCTAAGTAAAGTTATCATAATCCTGTCAGACCATAGAGCTGCTCTCTCATTAGAGAGAGATGACTGTTGGTGGTCTAACCTGAGGGTCACCATGCCTCAGGTGAGGAAAGAGATTGAGAAGTACAGTCCTTCATAGTAACCTCAGCAAATGCAGGAATTGAACCCACACTGTCAGCATCACTCTACATTGTAAGCCAGCGATCCAGCAAACTAAGGCCACAGACCAAAATATTTTTCTCTCCACAGATGTGCTGTTTCTAGCATTATTTGAGTGTAAATAAAATGTTTGAAATGACTGACAAACTTTTTATCCTTTGGAATGCTAATATGGTCATTATGTTTTGAGTAAAACTTCAATGCTGGTATTAGCATATAAAATGTTTCGATCTATGCGAAACAAGAATTCAAAACATGCATGCTTTCTTTGAAATACTGAGAAATTATCTAAGAGGAAAAATTACATTAGCTATGCACATTTATAAATTGTGACGTATGCATTCATAATGTGTCAGACAGCCTTTTCATTAAGATGAGTGAAAATTTGCAATTATCACTGTCTTTCACCGAATACATCTTCTCCCTTTGATCTCTATCCAACACCTCCTTTCATACCATCCTGTTTTTAACATCTTCCTAAAAATCTGTCACTTGCATCTGACATTCAGTCTTCCCAATTCACATTCTTAACATCTATCTTCGGCTTTACTGCCTTGTAAAGCTCTCTAAGATATTTTCTTGCATGAATGTAGTTATAAAAATACATGTTAAAGAGTAAAATTTGTTAAGATTACAGAATAGGACAGAAGAGTGAGATGAGCTGACTTATTCTGACAGAGCTGAAATAGGCCTGAATGGCCTACTTTGCTGCTGTACCTATCATGTAATTATTTTCTTCAAATCCTTTCTTGAAAGGTTGCTGTCTTTGTGGAGTAGTACACTCATAGCGTGTTTAGGATGGGAGCTCCAGGATTTTTGTCAGGCAACAGTGAAAGAATGGCAACATAGTTCCAAGTCAAGACAGTCTGAAACTTGCAATGGAACTTGCATATGGTGAAGCTACCATCCATCCATCTGCGACCGTGTCCTTCTCAGTGATAGAGGTTGCAGGTTTGGAAGGCTTGACCAATTGTTGCACTGCATCTTGTGTTACCAATGCTTGGTCCTGGATGATGTTAAGCTCTTGAACAGTGGTTCGCAATCTGTGGGTGATGACACATAGTGGGGTCATAAGATAAGCGCTTGGGGTCATGAGATACCCATCTTGTGAAGCAGCAAGGATCACCGTAGACACGAATCTAGCTCCTAACAGAACTGTTGCAATTGGCCACTTTGAACTATAAATTCCTAGCATGCTCTGTGGCAGAAGTTGGACTGCTTATTGCAGATACCCTGGAGCCAGCATGATTTTGCTGCCTTAAGTTATCTAGCATTATTCACCACCCTATACTCATATGATTTCTCTGTGCTGTAGCCCACTTGCCCCCTTTCCCTCTCACCTGCTGAGCTCTAGCTCTCAGTGAGGGTTTGGAAGAGGACAGCAGTGAGTTGGGAAAGGTGGTCTGTGAGTGGGAGGAATGTGACAAGCAGCAGGGTGGGGGAAATGGGTGGGAGGTGATGTGGGACTGAGTCAGGGAGCAGGATGGAGATAGCAAACTTTGATATCATGGAGAGGATAGAGGAATTATTTATCATTTTCTGGAGATCATTTTGAGAAAAGGTCAAAGCTTTCAAATTTTATGACAATTCTTGCCAATCCCTACTCTCACTCTGGGGTCACATCAATTAAAAAATTTAAAAGCATTAAAATGGGGGTCACAGTGAGAAAAATTTTAGGAAGCACTGTTCTTGAATGTTATTGGTGCCATACTCTCAGGCAAGTCTTCATAGTTCTGACTTGTGACTTGTAGTAGATAAACTTGGGGAGTTAGGAGGTGAGTTCCTTGCTGTAGTGTTCCCAATGTCTGACCTGCTCTGGTAGCCACAGTATTCAAACCAGTCCAGTCCATTTATCATCAGTGATAACCCCCAGGATGTTGAGGATTAAGTATTGGCAATACCATTGAATGTCAAAGGGCAATGGCTAGAATCTCTCTTGTTAGAGCTGGCAACTACCTGACAACTACATTGCACAAATGTTATTTGTTACTTAGTAATGCGAGTCTGGATGTTGACCAACACTTGCTGCACATGAACACAGACTCCTTCAGTCTCTGATGTGTTGTGAATTGTACTGAAAATTATACAATTATTAGCGAATAACCCCATTTCTGACCTTATGGTGGAGGGAAGATCACTGATGAAACAGGTGAAGATAATTAAGCCTAGGACACTACCCTGAAGAACTAAGGGGTTCTTCTGTTATAGTGGTATTGTCTCCACTTCTGGACCAGGGGACCTGGGTTTAAGTCCCAACTGCTCCATATCTGCGTAGGTTAATTAGAAAATATCGACCTGAGCAACTCCTGCAGCAATTCCCTGGGGCTGAGATGATCGATCCCTAGCTACGACAGTTATCTTCTTTTGCGTTAGGTATGGTACCAGCTGGAGAGGCTTTCCCATTTCACTCTCAATTTTCGTAGGGCTCCTTGGTCAAATGCTCCTTTGATATCAAGAGCAGCCACTCCCACCACATCTCCCCATTCTGAATGTTTCTTGGTTGCCACCAAAAAATCACCTTTGCACATTTTCATATAAATTGCTGGATAAAACAGGGATTAATACAGATGTCTGAAAATGATCAATGAAAAAAAGCAAACCTACTTTTGGAATGGGAGACTTTTTCATCTTGCTGTACATATTCAACAACTTGCTCCATGGCGAGAATGACATTTTTAGGTTGTTCTCCTTTGGTTGATCTATACGTCAAAAAAAAACTTATTTGCATTTTAATCCATTTCCGAAAAATGCACATTTCCCATTGTTCTCTAAACATTTCCCTCCAGGACTGGTAAGGTAGTGGAGGCCAGGAACCTTACAACATTTAAAAAATATTTGTATGAGAACTGGCACGGTGATCTCTCAGCATGGCGTGGCCTCAGCTTCTACTTAAGAACCTGTAACTTGATTCTAAGACGGCACCGTAAGTGGCCGCTTGTAAACTTTTCATTGTACTCATTTGAGTACATGTGACAATAAAGCTAATTCAATTCAATTCAATTCAACATTCAAGGATATGGGACAAGTGCAGGAAATTGGGATTAGTGCACTTTTAGTGGCAGTTATGTTGGTGCAGACCTGGTGGGCCAAAGGGCCTTTTCTGCACTGTATGAATTTATGACTGGTAGAATCATTTTAGAGCATGCGAATCAGTTCAATTTATCGAATCAGTGAACAGCCTTCTGTGTATGAATATGCATTACAATTGTTTATTTCTCTTCTAGCCCAGAAATTCCAATCGTGGGATAGTCATTGAAGCACCACAGATTGGAGTTAAGCATCAAGAATATTCAGAAATCCCGATGCAGCTGACTTTGTGCCAAGGAAATTATAAAGTCTTTGGGGTAATTACCTGGCTTGTGAAATCTTCTGAAAAAGTCCTCAAACCTTGACACGCACCCACCTCAACAACCAACCACCCAAACGCAATGGAAAAAGACAACTTGCCCCCAACACAATACCACCTGAGACCTGACACTGTGCCCCCAGCCTAAATGATAATTCCAGGTATGATACCACTCTAAAGTTTTTGAGAAGATTTGTAGCTTGGGTCGTGGATGAGGTTGCAGAATTGCTCGCTGAACCTGTGTGTTTGATTGCAGACGTTTCGTCACCCTGTTAGATAACATCGTCAGTGCACCTCCGGTGAAGCATTGGTGTTCTGTCCCACTTGTTATTTATACGCCTCGGTTTGCTGGGGTGGTTGGTATACTTCTGGTTCTGTTTCTCAGTGGTTTGTATATTGGGCCCAGTTCAATGTGTTTGTTGATGGAGTTCCGGTTGGAATGCCAGGCCTCCAGGAATTCCCTGGCATGTCTCTGTTTGGCTTGTGCTATTGTGGATGTGTTGTCCTAGTCAAATTTGTGTCCGTGTGTATTGAAACTGGTGATAATTGGTTGTGTCTCTTGGTAGCTATTTGGTGTTCGTGTATCCTTATTGCCAGTTTTCTACCAGTTTGGCCTACAGAGTGTTTCTCACAGTCCTTGCACGTTTTTTTTTATATTACATGAGTTTTATTGGTTGTGGGTATGGGTTGGCTGTTGCAGAGGTAATGGCGGAATGTGCTTTTTGGGTATGAGACAGAGCACAACAAGAAGATACATCACGATCAGACACACTCGTCACTTTACCATACATCAGGGACATATCAGAGATGACCACAGAATACTCAGACCCCTAGTTATCAGGGTAGCCCACAAACCAACAACCACCCTGCGACAGGTACTGACGAACATAAAGGACCCCATACCACTCATAATACCACTCCTTGATCTAAACCCTCAGCCTAATCTTAGCACTCATCCACTTAGCTCTCACCCTAACCTTTTAATCACTACCCATCCCCACCCCGATCACCACCCATCTGCTATCTTACTTCCTCATCCACCTATCACTCTAACCCATCACCCACCTTGCTTCCTGCTATCTCACCAATCCATCCCTATGCCATATCCACCTTCCCCACTGGGTACCTTACATCCATATTCCCTCACCCACAGCACATGATTCCCTATCCACCTCTAACACCGTCACCCTAAACCCTCATCCACCTGACAACTTCCATCCAACGCTAACCTGCCAAACTACCACCCCTAACACCACTATCACCTGTTACACTAACCCTATCTATCTGGCAACTTACATCCCTGCCTTTCTCACCAATCTGCCACCCTATCAACTCTACCCCCTTTCCCACCTGCCATTCTGATCCCTCAGTTATCTTACACATTGACCTTCTCTCAACAGCTTTTAAAATGATTGTAGTGCTTTCAAATCACAGAATATTGCCCTTATTCCTGGGAAAAGAACCATAATTTCTCATGCGATTCACTTTGCTCCTTGTATTAGATTTGTCTACACTGCTTTGGCAGAGCAGGCTCCTGGCTAGATTTGAGGGGAGAATTTATTTAAAGGTAAGTCACTCTGATTTTGTACAAATGGGATTTGAAAAAAAAGTTTTCTCATTCTGATTGGAAAATTGTCTCCAAGACTTTGATCCTGCAATGTAAACCATTCCCTCCATAAAAACTGCTTGATTTGCCTTTCCAGCATTTTACTGTTTTGGCATAACATTACCAGAAGCTTGCAGTTTTTTCTTTTATGGAAATATTGAAGATTCATGCCAAACAACATATCAGCAAGCTCAAGCATCTCCTGAACATGCTTTCAAAATTGTGACCCACTATAAAGCATTGTTATTTGAAACTATAAGATTTGAAAATAACCTAATGAGTTATTTCACAATAACCTAATTCAAATTAATTTAACCTGAATTAGAAAAGATGGCACATTCAAGTTGGGAGAACATTTTCAGAAAACTTCCTAGAAATTGTGTACATCAGTTTACTATGGACACCGTAAGAAGCATAGATATGACAATATGCTTTGGACAAAATAAATTAATGTCCTTGGAAGAATGATGCCAACTTTCCAAAAAATACTTGTTCAATGCTCCAGCCAACAGTATAATTACTTTTAGGGAGCCTATAAACTGTTCCCACTAGTATGTTCTTAACATTGCTTTTCCAAACAATCACCCAAGTGGAATCAGAGATAGTAGGAACTGCAGATGCTGGAGAATCCGAGACAATAAGGTGCAGAGCTGGATGAACACAGCAGGCCAAGCAGCATCATAGGAGCAGAAAGGCTGACATTTCGGGCCTAGACCCTTCATCAGAAATGGT